CGTCTTTCTTTCCATTATTTCTTCTCCTCGTACTGATGGAGTGAAATGAAGAAAAGACCGATTGGTAACGCCAAAGCATCCCGTAGAATATCTAATATGAATGACCAATTTTATGATCGGATCGTTTTCTTATCTAGCTGTCGCAGCTTTTTGGGGAATATTGTAGCAGCGCAGTCACATCTGTATCAAAGGACGGGTATAGCGGGGCCAGAGTGCACTATTTGGTATAGACGGTATGTCATGGTTCCGACACACTTTTGGTATAGGGCCTTCATATCGTGACGATGCGGGTGTCTGCGTCGTCGTCTATCGCGTACGCTGATAGCTTTTGGATACTGGTGACTGAGCAATACACTAAATAACCGGCATTTGTTTGAGTGTTTAACGTTTTGTGACGTGCGGTGGGCGCAAATGCCGCAGGCGTGAAGGACCTATAGTGGCTTCATAAAATCTGGTTGGTCCACCTCGCTAGAGGTGTAACATTAGCGATTGCGCTTCTACCTTGCGAGTACATATCCAGTCTCGTTTTAGGCCCATATGCATGGATATTCCTATGGCGGGGTAGTTTACATGAGAGTGACAGTACCATACCGAATTATTCTGCTGTCATATCCGACTTCATGAATATTGCAGATACAATGGGTGGGTTGTTCAGCAAGAAGTCATCAACTCCTCCTCCTCCTAAAAACTGCGTAATAACTGAGCAGGATCAGGCAATTCTAGTTAGTTTCTTTATGTCTATGGTTTTTGGTATTCCTTTAAAGTTTTTTGAAGTTTGAGTTTCACTTCATTAGTTTTTCAGCGTGTCGATTTTATTGAGATTTTTCTTCCAGCAACTCAAAACTCAAAGAGACAAGATTAAACAATTTATTCGACGAAAAGAGAGGGATATGGAGAGAGAAAGAGAACTAGCGCGGCAGCTCATCAAGGATGGAAAGAAAGAGTAGGTTCAAATGCTGACTAACCTCTCAGACGATGAACTTTACTGTGTTTTTAGCCGTGCCCTGCTACTGCTGAAAAAGAAAAGATATCAAGAAAATGTCATTGAACAGACAATGCGACATCTGGATAACATCGATAGAATGGTATGTTTGCAGCTGTTAAAAATAGCTCTGCGGAGAAAAGAAGTTATATTCTAGGTGCATGATCTGGAATTTGCTGATATACAGCAACGAGTTGTTGAGGGACTTCGTCAAGGAAATGATGCATTGAAGAAGATTAATGCGGTAATCACGAGCTCCAGTTTTTTTCTGAGTTTGATTCGTTTTTTGTCACGCACATCCGTTTTTCTAGATTTTCGATATTGATGAGATAGAGAAGCTCAAAGAAGAGACAAGAGAAGCCGCTGAGTATCAGGAGGTCTGTTCTTTTTTTTTGCTTTATAGAAAAAGTTCAAATCTGTCTGCTGCTTTTTTAATCTATTTCTCTTGCTTTTACAGTCTTCGAGTTCCTTGTAAATTTTCTGTAAGCCTATTTATCATCTCGATTTTAGGAGATCTCTACTCTTCTATCTGGTCAGCTTTCCAACCTTGATGTGCAGGAGGCTGAACAAGAATTGGAGCAGCTACTGGCAGCTCAAATCAGCGATGTCAAATTGCCAGATGTTCCAACTCACGATTTGCCAGAGAGGCAAAGAGGTACGATTACTTCTAAGTTAGTTTTCAGAAATTTTAGCTGACTGTTTTGTTTCTAGAGAAAGAACCAGCAAGCAAGAAACGCGAACGCGTAGCGGTAATGACCGATGTGTAAATACTGTAAATGGTATTCTTATATTACATGACTTTTATGCTATTCACGTGTACCTGTGATATACTACGTTTGTATATGTAGATAAATGTGATTGAAAGTTCCTATTTCACTTCATGAAATGGTCGCTATCTTTCATT